AACCATTTACAAATACAAGAAATACATATTAAAATTATGGAATTATGGTTAAGAACAAACGAACAACAATAAAAGAAACTGATTATGAAGCATAATGACAATCTAAATATAATATAATAAGACTAATGTTACACTGAAAAAGTCTTCATTGCCTTTGGATTTATTGGCCTCAAGACATTTTTAGCTTTCATAGTATGAGTATAATTTCATAGCAGAGTTTAGAGGTATTTAATCTAACACCTCTAAATGAAAAGAAATCCAGCACAACTAATTCCCTTCGGTTGCAGTTAGGAAGGAATTGCAGCGTGATTTTCAGAATTCTTGTTTACAGAAACATTGTATGCGACTGTTTTCTTCATCATTTTGTAGTCGGTTGAACACATAAAATCCAAATAAAAGACATATGGAACAAGGACGAAAGGAATAAATTCTTTTGAAAGACAATGAACAAAGAGAAGAAAATTAACCAAGGCAACCCAAAGTGAACCAATCTAAAATGAGCTGTAATCTTTTACTGTGACCACTTTAGCCCATTATCTGAAAGATGCTCTACCTGCCAAATATTCTAACATTTATTTCTGAAGTCAGATTCAGTTTCTTTCCTGTTACCCAATATTGTCACTAGATGTCCCCAGTTACCTTCTTCTGCATCATCATGTCACCCCTGTCCTTTCTCAGATCCTCCTCACCTTTAAAACGGCTTTGTTCTCAATTTCTTTCTTGTCTCTCTGTTATCTTGCTTCCTATTTCTTGGAACTGAGTTGTTGCCTTTGCATAACTCTTGTTTTGTTTTCAACAGTTTTAAAATATATTCTATGTAACTCTACAAGGATATAACACATTTGATTGTGGTTTCATAATGTAATGTCTGTTTACATTTGTAACAGTTAATACTGAGGATTGCATCTATTTTATTTGAGTTTTTGCGTTCTCAATAATTATAGTTTGCAAACATTGTGGCACAAAACTCAACAGTCAAAGCTGAAAACAGCAACATCTGCTTTTTGCAGCTGCTGCATCATTGCTTTGAAAAACAAGGAATTATAGTTCTTTTCGGCTTATTACAAATGTTTGCGTTTTTTTGATGCTCTGACCTTTGGCTAACTGCAACTGTAAACCTTACCAACCTACTATGAAATACTGAATAGCATTCTACAAGTAATGATCAGAGTCCTGTTCCTGATTCCGGACACTGAAGCTACTCCCAAAGCTACCCTCCCTGTCCTCTGCAGGGCCAAGCTTTCTTCTCTGTTGCAGCTGGACGATCATATTTTCAGTTTTGGCAGCTATAAATGCTAATTATAAACATTTTAACAATAAAAAAAGTTCATGTTTTACCAGAGCAGCACAAGTATTTACAAGACACATGGGTTCCTTTACCAAGAACAAACTGATGCTTTCCTAGCTCAAAATTAGTAGTGGAGTGTTTTTGTTTTTTCTGTGTTTGCTGGATTATAAAAATATTTGGCAGCTTTTTTTACTTGCTCTGAGCCTCCAAGCTCCAGGTTGTTTAGATGATTTTGCAATCTATTTGAAAAAGTAACCAAACCAAATTGTTTTGCACAACAGCTATTAAAATCTTTTGCAAAAAATCTTGATATACCATACTGTTATAACTGCAACACGTATCTATTCAGCTGATCAATGTAAAATAGTGCATAATTATAAAGCAAAGAGAAAACAAACAAAGGTTTTCCGTGCATCTGGCAGAGAAGTAACAGAGGGGACTCTGAAAGTTCTGCTTGAAGTTTATATGTAAACTCAGTTTACAGTAACTGTGCATTCAATATGCCTGAGCTGCAAATGCATGAACTGCTTTCTTTACTTTTATTTGCAAATAATGTGCTACCATATATCAATTACCTTTGGCTTCAGAATAATTTCAAGCATAGAAAAAAATGAAATTTAAAGCTTCAAAATAATATTTAAATGCCGTGATGCTTTTCTCGTACAAATTACTGTATAACAAGATGCTCTCAGTCTGCACTACAGCCATTAGAAAATCTCTATAAGCTGACCATAAAGACTCTGGATTAAAAAAATCTAATCAATATCCTCATTATAAAGTGTTACATTAGCATGACTTTTTGAGTTGGAAAAGTATAATCTTTTACTTGGATGTTTGTATATAAAAATTTCTTGCAGTTGCTTTACTTTGCAGATTGACTCCACTACTGCTTACATTTTAAGTGTACTATCAATAACTATAAAAGCATTTAGTAGGGGAACTGGAAATGGGGGGGTGGTGGCCTAGTGGTTGGGGCATAGAGCTTGGAATCTTGAGGTTGTGAGTTTGAAACCCACTCCCATAGACTGCCAATCTAAGTCCCTGAGCAAAGACCCTTTACTCTAAAATGCTCCCCGGGCATGGCTAAATGGCAGCCCACTGCTCCCCAAGGGGATCAGTTAAATGCAGAGAGTGCATTTCGTTGCGCTTTACTTTTGACCGTGTATTGACAATAAATACAAAAATGGTGGTTCTAGACCAAATGTATAAGGAGGGCCAGTGTGGGGGGAGGTTCTTACTCATGGTGGCACAGAACAAAATATTAAAACCAAAAAGCCAAAGAGCCATTTGTAGCTCTGGAAACCTCAAATATAGCCGACAAAAACTGGGATGATATCTTAAGACTTAAACTGAAAGTGCAACAGCTGGATTTTTTTTAATCAGCCAAAATGTATTGGTTCAAGGGACTTATTCGATGTATTTTCTGAGCTAGCTTGTAACGTCATAAAAAAAGTATTCACTATGATGTCTTTAGTGGAGCGGCTATAAGGGGATCTGGCTCCTCTTTGCCCCTTTTAAGAGCCGCCCATTGTTCTTTCTGTCAGTTGTCATTTTCTGTTGGGGCTTCACATTCTTTGAACAGACCATTAGAAATAAGAAATATTACATCACTGAACTGTTTCAGGAAATCTCTTCAGCAATTGTTGCTAGATGATCAAAATTGTTCACATGTTTAACCTAACTGTTTTGCATATTTTATGTTTCACAGATGCAACTACTTACTTACTAACTGTAATGTTTACTATATATTATGTAACTTTAAGCTATAGATATCTCACAATTTATAGGTAATTCATTTCATAATGCTTGTTAACTCTATTTTTTAATTTTATTTAATACTTACTAATACTAAGTTAGCCTCCCTGGTGAAATCCTGCATATTTACATCATGTATTCATGTTAATTAATATGCATTGATCCCTTTATGGAAAATAACTAGTTCTAATGTTATAGTGTGTTGGGCTATCACATTTAAAGCAGATGAAATATTGTAAAGTTTGAGATTGGAACATAACCAAATTGAAGAAAATTGATAGAGTACTGTACTGCAGGGCAGGATGCTGGTATACACTGGTAGAACTGCCAGGTTTTCCCAATTGGCTGAGGTCCGTCTCAACAGGAAGTCGTTATAAATCTACTGACCTTTGGTGTCTCACCACTAGTGTTAGGGTTATCTATCAGCTGAGATGATAAACTGCTTATAGGTATGGCTTATAAACCCAATGTCCTTACATTTAGGTGTTCTGCCTTTTCTCTTGGTCTCTGCATAATTCCCAAGAAGAGGTATGCAGAGATAAGGTTTCTAGATATATGGGAAATTGAAGTAAATATTAGAAACTTTACTTTGAATTGCCTTATTGTCAAAATACAGTAAATCAACAAAAAAAGATCAAAATATTTGGGTAAATTAATTATGTTCCAGTATTGACTGGACCCGTTCCAGTTTGCCCACCGACGGAACCGCTCCTCTGAGGACGCCATCTCCTCTGCTCTTCAACTGAGCCTAGCACACCTGGAGGAGAAGAACACCCATGTGCAGATGCTGATTCTGGACTTCATTTTGGTGCTCAACACCATCATCCCACAGCATCTGATAGTTAAACTGGAACAGCTGGGCTAAAATACACCCCTCTGTTTTTGGCTGCTAGACTCACAAACAGACCTCAATCAGTCCAGGTTGTACACCATCAGAGCACCTCTGATGTCATCACCCTAAGCACAAACTCCCCTCAGGGCTGCATCCTGAGCCCCCTGCTGTTTACTCTGATGACACACGACTGCGCCCCCTCATCAGAGACGACAACAACCAGATCTCCAGAGAGGAGATGGAGCAGCTGGTGGACTGGTGCAGAGACAACAATCTGATCCTGAATGTGGATAAAACTAAGGAGATCATCGTTGACTTTAGGAATAATCGGCCTAACCACCCTCCACTGCTCATCAACTGCTCAGCTGTAGAGGTGGTCAGCAGCACCAAATTCCTGGGGATGCACATTACAGACAACCTCACCTGGACTGTAAACACCACCACACTGGAGAGTCCACCTGCTCACACCCATCCTCACAACCTCCTACAGAAGCATTGTGTGGCGTGGAGGCTGCAGCACCTCAGACTGGAAGAAAGTGAGAAGAGTGGTGAGAACTGTAGAGAAGATCAAGGCTCCTCTTCCCTCCATTTAAGACATTTCATTCCAGCGTTGCATGTCCCAAGCCCATAACATAATCAATGACCCCTCACACCCCCACCATGGACTGTTCTCCCTGCTGCTCTCTGGGAAGAGGCAGATTCTGCAACAGCTTCTTTTCCAGTGTCATCAAACAGCTGAACTGTTAAAAAGACTTTAAATCATGTCACAGACTCTGTATCACACTGATAACACCAAACCAAAAATACTGAATTGGTATCGTATATATTAATTCTCTGAATTTCCATATCAATGCATTTTTGCATGTTTTTTCTCCCGCACTGTTTACATGGGATCACTGCTGCACTGGTTGGAATGGAATTGTACATATCACTGCTAAGCTGCTGTCTGAATTCACTGTCTGAAAGCTGTATAAAATGCCCATAAACGTCTGTCTGGGTCTTACTGAGTCTTTAATTCCAGTATGGTGAACCAGTCAATGCATACTTGTGTTTCTCAATCTATTTCCTTTCAAGCAAATATTTTAATTTGTCAACCTTCTGCTTTTTTTTGTCCTTTTTTCCTAGATATGGGGTTTTTACAAACAAGGCTACAAGTGTAAAGGTAAGGCAGCAATTCACTGAGCAGATGTTCTCGTTCCACTCGGAAGGCTGCAGCCTCCAGAGAATCTCTTGATCCCATTGATTTCCCATCTAACACAAAATGCGTATCTACAGAGCAAATGTCAACAACACACAGAGTCATAATCCCATAACCGGTATATAGGATCACACTGTTTTACTTGATGTCCACACATAAGGCCTTGTCGCTAGCGGTCGGATTTGCTCCATCAGCTGAGACCTCAATAAACACTAGAGGGAATCATTTGCCCTCCCAGGCCTCCGTAAACACTAGTGTTTGAGATATCCTGCTCTTTTCACAAATGCACACAGATAGGCCAGCTACCTCCAAACACCTTCTCACCCTTCAACACTCCCTTCATAAACAACGACTTAGACTGCTCCGTTCCTCTTGGGAGATGCTGTCAGAGGTTTGTGCCAAGTTAGTGATAAACTACAGATGCTAGACTCTGAAAATAGAGCAACACTGCATTAGAAATGTAATGAAAAGCTCAAGAAGAGATGGCAGATCTTAAATGCAAATCAGAAGTTTTTATTTGCTGCAGCCTTGGGGGAGGGGATTGAATTAGAAAATTGACTGCTGTCATTTTACTCTCAGAAGGGTCTAATGCTCTATCACATGACTGTTAGCGTTTTTTTTTTGCATTTCCTTACAACATACCTTTTATACCGTTGTTCAGATGTAATATGTAGATGTTCTGCTCAGCCTTACCATAAGGGGATACGCATTTAAATAACATTTATCGTTTCCCTTTGTGTTTCCTTTATCAACAGTCTCCTCATTCTTTCAGGCCTTCAGGTTTGCTAAACATTGCTTATTAAATCGTTGGCAAACTGTCATCAAATGTTTCCGTTGCATAGCAGCCAAAGTAATTAATGTTTCCTAGGGTCGTTACATTCAGAACACTCTCCACCATGTATGCCGGAGACAAGAAAGAGACATGTTAACTCAAAGACTAATTGGATCTTTAGCACTAACTTAATTCCTATTCAAAACCTTTGGACTTTTACATTTCTTTCACATTACTAAAGTCAAAAACAGCACCAGATTTATGGAGGATAAAAAGTGCCAAAATTAAATAAATAAA